CCGCCGCCGCAATTATAAATCCTAAAAAGTCCGCCGCCGGTTACGCCCAAAAACGCTCATTGTAAAGCCGTCGATTCATGCAGGAGGGTGAGATTTTTACCACTCGTGGGTCACGTAATTCAACAGGTCGTATTAAATTTTGGGCACGATGCGGCCGGGGGTGCGCCCGTGGCGCGTGCTCATGTGCGCCATAGGGTTAGCATTAGAATCGGCAAAAACAGGCTATTGCTCGGAAACGGTAAGGGCTACGGGGATGAAATTTTCACGCCAAGTCGGACGCGTGGACTCATTTGTCGTATTAAATTTTCGAGGGGGTGGGTTCAGCGGTGTGCACGTGGTGGGACCGCGACCGGTGCCGAGCAAAAGGCACGTGCTTTAGGCCCGCCATCGGCCTCGGCGGTCCGCCGATCGTCTTTCGGGCGTGTTTGTTTAACCGGACGGCGTCTCTCGGACACCTGTTTTTGGTCCTCCCGGACTGGCCCCGGCAGGCTCATCAAAGTGACCCGGCGGGGAGTGGCAGCGGGCGCACCATCTGGTTATGACCAGAGCCGGCACGAGGGAGCACCGCGCCGCCCAGCGGATACTCTCTCGCTGGGGCACGCGGAGAATCTCGTGCCCTCCGTGCGCCGGCCTCCGTTCTAGACTGAGCTCAGGTTAAGACGGAACATTAGGCTCATGTTCATCATCCATCAGAACTGACAGAGCCATCACCAAACGTGCAGTCTCAGCAGTAACTATCACCAGAAAGACAATGCGCCCGCGTCTCAGACACACAGCAGTCAGCATCTAATTATTTTGAGTAATGTTGGAAGGGAAGGCGTTTCTTGCATCCCCGGCAACTGGGAAACAAACCCTTCTTGCATTATGCATATCAACATTGTCGAGGATACCGATAACACCCCCACCAAATATCACGCAGAAGCGTTCACGATGTGATAATGTGCATTAGAATCTTGTGGCCGCCGTGCCACTGCGGCGCCGCCGCCGCCCCGTCCTGGCTCGGGATGAGTTATATGGCATTGTGCGGGGCGGGGCCGGGAGGAGACGGCCGGCGGCACGCGCAGCGCAATTGTAAATTTAAGATATGTCATTTAAGGCACGTAGGCCGCCAAGCTGGCGCCTTCCGTCACCTCGTCGCCGCTGTGCAAGTTCGCACTCGTTTTGGGCGTGTTCTAGACGTTGCGTAACCTGTTGAATAAAAAGCGGGTCACGTGCGACCCCCAGCCAGTCTGGGCCGACACGCGACGGAGACAGCCTGCAATACAGCGGTAATGTGGACCTAAGGAGTTTGCTACATAATGTTTGAGGTTTTGCCATTAATGTGTTTATGATCAATACAATTCAGCTCTGTAGCTAAGTCAGAAACAGTTGTAGAGTAAACCTAACAGCGAAAGTTAAGAATTATCACAAGCATCTGTAAACGTCAAAAACAGCAATCTAAACGTGTGTTGACACAAAAAAGATCGTAGTAGACGGGTCGGCACGTCCAACGATGACACAACGCCGGAATGTGTAGCGTAACGACGTCATTCGGCGGTTATCAAGGATGCCTACAACTGACTTTTGTCGCATCAGGCATGAAGGCGCCACAGGCCCTCGCGACGGCGCGTTGGAGCGGGGAGACGAGGACAGTGGGAGGGGAAAGGGGGAAGGGATGAAAATGGGTCGTAAAGGGGGAGGAAAGTAGCACATGGTGACCGCGGCGGACACAAACAGGGAGGGGCCCCGCCAGTCGGGACAGAGCAAACAGTCACATTACGACAGGTCAGGACTGGCCACCATTAGAGCTGCTCTTTGCGGTCATTCAGGCAACTCGCCCCGAGAAAAGGGGGAGGAGTAGCACAGGAATCCTCCATCAGACACCCAGAGCTTCCGCGACGGTTTAGTTCTGTGGTGGTGGCCCGGAATGTTATTGCTTAGGCTTACTATTACTACTACCAAATTTGATTTTAGCCACAGTAGCAGATGTATTTGCTAGGACAAGGATGTAATGGTAGCTGTGTGACCGGCTAAGGCGCGGCGTGGCCCAGCTGTGTGCCCGGGGGACGCCGTCTAGCCGACGCTGATTTATGTGGGGGTGCGCAGTTACAGTAGTGGCGGCGGCGCCGAGTCGCGCGAGAGGGTGAACAACGTTATCTGAACGATGCGTTAAGTTCCAAAATTATTCATAGCTCGCTTAGACCGATGCAGGCTTTGTCTATCTGCTCGTTGCGGGAATAAAGGGACACATCAAATCACAATCGTCAGACCTATGCTCTTCCGCTGCGCCACGAGTCCACATCATTCAACGGAGAAGCCGAGTAATTAGTTACCAAGTAAATTTCCACAAAAAAAAGAACAGGCGCTCAGCCGTGTGCACTGTGCACGTTTCAGTCCAGGGGGGAGGGGGCGGGCATACGCTTCTTCCTCCCGGCGAAAGACCTTCCAAACCAGCCACTGGCGTTTCTGAGTACTCACCAACATTGCTGCTTCGCCTCTGAACGCAGTGAATCGATCAGAACGACAAATCACCCCGTAGCTCGCGTCTGGACCCTGCCCGATCGTCAGTGATCGTTGCACAAGTGAGCGCTTCTGCCACACACCCCTCCGGCCGCGATCACCGCCAGACTGCCGGCCGGCCGAATCTCCCGACGCAGCGATAACCAGAGACGCTCGCGGCGCGTCCGTCACAGGCGAAGTGCCGCCCGCCCCCCTCCTCTCGCGGCGCGTCCGTCACAAGCGAAGTGCCGCCCGTCCCCCTCCTCTCCCGGCGAGGTGCCGCCCGTCCCCCTCCTCTCCCGACGCTCGCCGTGGGCGGCAGTGTCCGGTGTCGCGTCCGCTGACGTAGGTCCGGTCACAGTGGGCCGCGGAGCGCTCAGCGTTCAGTAGACCACGGCGTATACTCATAATAGAGCCTTGGGCTCACGGTCACAGACTACGGCCATCGGCTAAGCAGCGCCCGGGTCGGAGCGACCCGTCTCGACCGGTAGCAGAGTTGACTGAGTGGAGCAGAATTTTGGGGACTTTGTCAATGTCCAGGGGACTAGGAGCAGCATCGCAATGACTCCCACAACATCTGGGATATGATTCGAATGGATTCAACCAAGTGAAAGTCTGGTCAGCCAGGCACTGTCGGAGCCCTATTCAAATGTGAATTGTCGGTGCATTCCAAGTCCCCTGCGCATCTGCACAATGTATGCCAATATATGCGCATTACGCATTTAGAATGCGCAACGCGCAGGCGAATTACCAATGCAAGTGCGCGAAAAGAATCATGGCTCGTGTTTCACAACCTACAGTTGCGAGACGCGACAGCTTTCAAACGCGTCTCTGCTTCTCCATGCACCCGGCAATGTGAGAAAAATATCCGTTCTCTGGTCGCGGGCGCAAGACCTACAAAATCCTAGCTATAAAACCGGGCATATTCATACCTTGGGCGGCAGCACCATTCTGCCGGGAACCCGCTCCTTCCTGAGACTCATCTCTTCAGAACCATTCTTCACTAACTTCGCGTCACTCTCTCACGAATCCTTATAGCGGAAACGCGCCAACGGAACTCGTCCCACAATTTACACACACGACCAGCCCTGCCGCACGGCTCGGCCACCCGTCCTCACTGAAATAGCGCCCGTGGAAGACTCCCGGTCCGCCCCGCTCCCCGGCGGCCAATAGCGGACGGAATGCCCTGCTGACCTGGCGGGGCGTCAGCCACAACAAAGACCGTCTCAGCTGTCCGCCGAGACCGGTGTTGGGTAGCCGAAAAACTGAGAACAGCTATCGGATAGACAAGGGACAAAGGCACATCAGACGTGACGGTTCTGATGTCGAGCCGAGCATAGCTGTCGTTATGTTATGAGATACAGACCTCAGTCACTGTAGTATCTGACTCACTAGTCTCATTATTCAGGACGGTGCACTGCAATCCACTCAGGGGCGAGTTCAGGGGAGGGACTTTGGGGGTTAAAGCCCCCGGCCGAAAAAAATGCCGCCCTAAGGAGCGATGAATCGGGGCGCCGCAACACTAACAAATCACTGTACCCATGAACTACATCAGAGGAAGAGAAAGAGACAGAGGGTATTGTCTTCAATTTTTACTATGGGCAACCGAATCGTACACTTTTCCGTCCCTATTAGATAGAAAGCATGCCGCCGTTGGCACCTGGCCGAAGAGAATCCTGGACTCCCCCCCCCCCTGATTGCACAGCACAAATCACGATCGGGAGACCAATGTCAGCTGCCCTCTGAAATCTCATTGAACAAGTACTAGTACGGACGGAAGTCACCAGAGGGAGGTCACCAGAGGGAGGCCACCAGAGGGAGGCCACCAGAGGGAGGGAGAACCAGAGGCAGAGGGCAGAGTGTGCCGTGGTACACAAACAATTATAATGTCAGCGATACGCGTGTAAAGTCACTGGCCTTTGTGCCATCTGCGCCAGCCCTCTGGACCAGACCCAGTGACCCAGTGGGCCCCACCCTCCGCAGCTGCTGCACACAGCACGGGCACCGCCGCGTCCGCGTAGTCCCATGCAGCGAGCAAAAAACGTCCCGCTGATCTTTGGCACAGTAAAACGCATTTGTTTGATGAATTTTTCTAGATTGTTGGTTAGATGAACACGACTTTAGTGCACACCGAGCAGCGCTGGTTGCGCTGCATCCAGCAGACCACATGAACACAAGCCCGTGAAAGGCTCAATTTTTTTCGCATCAGCCACACATTTAAGGGGCGAAAAGGTTCGAGTGCTGCAGTTGGTTCCTATAGAACGCTTCAACTAATGGAGAAAAGAAACATATTTAGACCAATGCCGCAGAAGGCACCGAAACCAGAATCTCTTAGGATGCTACTTGGTCACATGGAGGATTTGCATGTTTCAGTACCTACCTAATCAAAACAGGGCAAATGTGGACACTCTTATCGACTCTAGGCAAACACAAAGCCACACTTACCTTGCAAATCCATTCTCCAATCTCCCTAACATACCCACTGCCCCCCCCCCCCCCGGTCTCTCCCAATTCACACTCACCCCATCTGCGGTCTGCTGACGCCGCTTCACCGTAACGTGCTGTTTGCGAATGTGCTCGGCCAGCTGGTGCTTGGTGCGGCACAGAAAGACGCACTTGCGGCAGGAGAAGCGGTGCGTCGCCTCGTGCACCGTCATGTGCTCCTGTAGGGCCTCCTCACTAGGGAATTTCTCGTCGCAGACGCAGCAGGAGGGGCGCAGCTCGAGCTGCAGCTCGGGGACGCCGCTGGTCCCCGGCTCTGCGGCGGCGGCCGCCGGAGCGGGCTGTTCCTGAGAGTTCGGTGCTGGCAGTGGAGGGTCTGCCACGGACTGGCTCTCAGACTTTGGCACCAGAAGTGGAGGGTCTGCTGCAGACTGACTCTCAGACTTCAGTACTGGAAGTGGAGGGTCTGCTGCGGACTGGCTCTCAGACTTCAGTACTGGGAGTGGAGGGTCTGCCACAGACTGGCTTTCAGACTGCAGTACTAGTACTGGAGTGTCTCCTGCAGACTCATCATCAGACTGAGGGGCCAGAGGGTTTGGTGCGGGGAGATCCCCCAGCACAGACTGGTCCTGAGACTGCTGCCCCAGGGACAGTGGGTCTGTTTCGGGCTGGTCCTCATATTCCTGCGCCAGCACAGACTGGTCCTCAGAATCTAGTCCCAGGGACAGCGGGTCTGCCGCAGGCTGGTCCTCATACTCCTGCTCTGACGCAGACAGATTCCCAGACTCCAGGCCCGGTGGTGTGGAGTCTGGATCCAGTGCTGGCGGCTGCAGATCGGCCATAGTCTCACGCAGTGCCGGCGACTCCTCTGGCACAGGGTTCTCCAACAACCCTCCTGCTGCCGGAGGTGGTGATGACATGCTTCCTGAAATGGAGAATTTGTGAGAAATTTGCCCAAGGTAATTGGTGCACCATGCACCTAATAGATACGGCAATGAAACTGATGAGAGCAATTGTCTTGTGGAGTTGTTCTGCTCCAGATAGCTGTTCTAATGTAGTAGGCACTTCAATGGTTGATGAAAAAAAATATAAATCCCAATGCCAATTCAATTTTCACTAGAATAATTATGTTACAGAGAGCGAACTTACTAGAATTGAGAAGCAACTTCTTGGTGCACCCTTGAAGAATCCATCTGAAACAAAATAATGAAAATTAATAACATAATTTAATGACATAAGATATCATTTGATGATGAAAATGTTACACACACCAAAATAGGACACACAAAAAAAGAGCAGGCAGCAAAAAACATTCAATTTATTTTAATTAGCACACAAAAAGCAACTAGCCTAAAATCAACCAAAATTTCAAAAAGTCAAGCAACAACTGTGGCAGAATCATTATAAAGGAGTGGTAGGTAAGAACATAACAACTGATACAGGCTCCTCTTTATTTCATTGATGTGAATCAACCTAAGTTACCATTGAAGCTCCTTTGTGCTCTTCAACAATACAAATATGCATGTTCATGCAAAGAACAATCAAAGGCTACGTTCTAAAAGGCTAGGTTTTTAACATATATATTCTCTGGTAGGTAGCAACAGTGGACCCAATTAGCAATTTGCACTGTTCAGTACGCACTTGCACTAAGACTCTTGACTCCTGATAATCATTGGAAATCTTTTGGACACCTGAAATGGTGGATTTTCCCCACTTACTTTAAACTTATTACAGTGACAGGGAAATGGCTTACTATACGATTAAAAGTCGATCCCCGAACATAACTTTGACTTAGTGCCAGTGGTTTACATAGCCTTGGCCGTTTAAATCAAAATCAAAATAAATATTGATATAGCCTTGGCCTTTTAACTTACCAACCAAGGCCCACGAAATGTGTGTCTGCTATCATTATACGAAATAGAGACAAAAGGAAAACGGAAAAATGTAAAATCGGTAGGTTGAGGTGTTCAACTCCAAATCCGACTCGGAATTTCGGAATTGCTCGGAATAACTCCTCAACGCCCAAAACAGAGAAACACGACACGCGCATTGAGCGAAAACGATCAAGGAATGCATATTTCAATTCTTAGTAAAAAAGTACTTTTTGAAGATGGGCTTATGACGTCATGCAAGAAACTTAAAAAATTTACTTTTTTAGTTCACACAGCGGCCAGCGCTAACACATACCTTTTCGCAATTCGCATGGTACTAGTTTGGTTGACAAAATAGTTTGTTGTCTAAATTTCAGTTCACAATACTCAGGACGCATGTCTCAAGGAAAGATATCTACCAAGAAATAAAGTGACGCTTTATTTTTATGTCTACCTAGTACCTAAACCACAGACACAGTTCACAACATGTATGGAGAAGAGAGATAAAATTATGCATGAGAGAACTTGAGACCTACCATAATTTCAACCAAAGGCCCTGATCCAAGTAATCTTGGTCCTGATCGACCTGATCAAGAACAGCTTATCAGCCCTCTGTTGCCATCTATTGTATTTTCCTGTGAAGAAATGACAAAGCTAGCGACGGTCACATCAATGGTTTCCTTGGGTCGGGACGGGTGCAACCACAGGGTGCAACATTGCAGCAAAGATCACAGTGCGGGTATAACATGTAGTTAGATCATGCCATTGGATGTGGGCATATAGATGTCAATGATTGGAGGCTGGAGCTATTCATTTTAATGATTCGGAGCGACATACATATATGAAACGTTTTCGGCAACCGTTCAAATGCCGCTAAATGCATGTCCCTGAGCAAGTTCGTACTATTTTTGCATGATCCGGGCTACATGTGCGCGGCATACAAGGATCGGTCGATGTATTCTGCGTTGCTATAGTTAGCATGTTATGGCGTTATGCATTTGTGCTTTGTCCTGCATAATTATCGGTATTACCATCGGTTGGGTTAATTTGTTTCTTTATCAGCAGCGGCGTGTTATATTTCAAGCAGCATGTGAAACAAGGCAGCACAACACACGACGTATATTTATGTTTAAAATCGTATAATTCCATGCGACAACTCGTATCATATTAGGAATGCGTGCCTATCAATCAACCAACCATTTCATCGTCGTCATTTACAGTGCAACTGAGTCAGGATTTAATTAGAATCACGGTGAGCGTATCGCATTCATGACGATGGACAACTAACTAAGAATTATCGCCTGGCACTTATCCCGCTTTACGCTATAATAGCGGCCACTCGTCACCCCAGTCAGCTCGGGTCCGGCTGCTCACCCTACCGGCTACAGTGGTCTACCGGCGGCAGTCGGTCGGCCAGTGTTGGAAGTCCAGCGGGTCAGCGGCCGGATACAGTCGACCCCCGCTCTGCGCCACCCTGATCAGCTCCCTCTGCTGCTCCACGGGCAGGTGGAGACATATGAGCCGCCGCAGCTCCGCCGGCGTGCTAGCTACGCCGCTACGCCGCAGCACGGTCAGCACGTCCCCCATTGTTGGAGCGCGGCGCGGTCCGGCCCGTTGTCGGAGCCAGGAGAGGAGCAGCGTCTCGAACTGTGCCACTGCTCGCTCCGCCTGTCTGAGAGCCTCAGTGGTCACACGCAGACCCACGGCGTTACGACGAAACCAGCGCCGCGTTCCAGGCGACCTGGGAGCGCCGGGTCGTGCTCCTTTGGTGTGGGAAGCTGGCTGTCGACGACGCTTTGCAGCCACCGCCGCGGCCGCTGAACGGCGCTGATCGCGGGCGAAGTTGGGAAACATCCGAGCGAAGACCTCTTGTCTGGTCGGACGGCGACCCCTCGCAGGTGAGTTGAGGATTTGAGTCATTGATCGCGTCACAGGCCGGCTCGGGGTCGAGTCGGCCCCCTCGTGACACGAGTCCAACTCGTCTGAGTCATCGATGAGTCCGCTGGTGTGTCGCGGTGGTCGGCGGATCTCGCTGTCAAAAGTCACCGTCAGCCGCCGAGGGCGTGTGAATCTCGGAGAGGGTACAGCCGGCAGTCGGGTATACCTCGATCCGGTGAGCTGTGCTGGTCTGCCAGGATTAGATCGGATGGATCTTACCGATCCTGACCTGGTTGATCTGCCAGACTTTGATCCAGTTGATCTCGTGGGTCCTCTTCTTTTCGATGGCCGGCTTCCGGGAGATCGCGCGGAAGTTGAGGCGGAACGTGTTACGGGAGACATATGTACTGCCTCACGATCAGTGTGCTGTGGATTTCAAAATACGAATTATGTCGATAAAAGTTTCTAGCATTCCTTATCAGCTTGTGGTTGGAATTTGCTTGTGAATCCTGCTATATTTGAGGAAGACTTGTCACCATCGACTAATAGCGATTGTATGCTGGTCAACTGTCTCATATGAAAGGGATATGACTGCGAATCGTAATGAAGTCTTGAATGGAAACAGCTTTCGTACGGTTCAAAAATTTGAAGATATACTGCTGTATTTGTGTGAAAAATACCGCTATATTAGGGTTGGCAATTGGGAAAAAGAGTTTTGTAATGCTGCTCAAAAGAAATTAGATCGTTTATTTCTGTCGTCTCACTAAGCTAAGCACCAACTAAGCACATGGCTTAGCATCAACCTCAGCATAGGCAACGCGGCGTGCTTTTTGTTTCCGTTGCTATGACAACATCGAGACAAATTTGTAAGTAGTCCATCTCCTGCTGCTGCTGACGGGACTGTAATCGCCACGCCCCGCGTGGATTGTCCATGAAGGTAATACAATACAATACAATACAATTCTTTTCAGAAAGGAATAAAAGAATGTCAAGCTTCTTCATAGAGTACAAGAAAACATGTAGAAGAAAACACAATGTTGAAATTGAATTGAATACCAATGATATAGATAGATAGTTAGTGCTTAGACATGACCTGACCGGCTTTGACCTGGCCTTGACCTGAGGCCAACACTCATGGTAGCCCTTTACAAATAAAATGTATAACATTAAACATGGCATTAATACGGGCTAAACACGACCAAAGCAATGGTGTCAATATAGGCACCTGGCACAAGATGTGTAAGATGACCTTATCGTTGCCCCATGCCTAATAATAAACCAAGAAAAGCTTCCACTGTTAAATATTTCAGTACGGTAAATATATCGTTGCCTTTCTGTGCGAATATTTAACTGCCTTGATTGACAGGACCGTTTATTTCTTGTTATACGAAATGAAGCGAGCATTCCGCCAGCTTGCCTATTTCTTTTTCCTTTTGTCTCGGTCCTTCCCTATTCCATATAAGGTCAAAATACACCGTTCACTGCGATGAAAGCAATTAGACGAAATAAAGTATAAAGCACTCAGGCGTTTCCTATTCCATTTATAGGACAACATTTAGGCGCCGTTCACCGAGTGACGAAGGTAATTCAACGAAATTGATAATAAAATCTGAAATTAGATGGTAATTAACTACCCACCCATAAGTTATAACCAAATGATAAAGGGACAGAGTATTACAGGAAACAATAGGAATCACATCCTGTGCAGATTTCGCTTTCCTTTATACTCATTACTCACTCTGCATATGATTGTGTGTCTTCTTGATAACGGGTTTAGCAGTACATCGTACGGGCCAATGCACGTACCGTCTGGAACGCCAGCGTGGTACGATGACACTAACCAGACCCGACCGGCTACAGTGCAGGCCATCACTCGGCGGCTCTCAGTTGACCTCTGGTATAAACAGAGGGACCCACTGCACTGGGGTGACAGAGTTCGTGGTGTCTGCACTGGCAGTTGGATAGAGACTGTGCTGAAGTGAGGAGCTCCAGCACTGTGACGGAGACAGAAGGGAGATCCTTCTTTAGCCCCCGACAGAAGACTGCGTCTGTGTGGTGGTGGTAGTGGTAGTGGCTGCCGCTCGTATCATTTTACTGAGGCCGATGTCGGTGTCTGTTCGACATCCTCTCCTGCTCCTGCTGCTGCTGACGGCTGGAGTCGGAGTGGACCTCTCCTCCCCACCCCTCCAGCCGCTGTCAGAGCTGGAGGTCACCCCCAGCTGCAGCCTGGAGCGGCTGTGTTACACCACCACTGACCTCAAGTCCCGACTGGCGGAGGTGACCGATCGTTTGGACCGACTGCAGCGCAGAATGGACTCCCGGTTAGGAGAGACAGAGCCTATCCCGCCGGACACCGCCACGGTCAGAGACTGCAGTGACCTTCCGGCCGGCTCTGCCAGTGGCGTGCACCTGCTCCGACCTGACCTGGGCCGACCTGTACCCGCCTACTGTGACCTGACCTCGTCCGGCGGAGGGTGGACGCTGCTCCTACGCCGAGCCGACATCCGACCGCGGCGCGACTTTTACCTCGGCTGGCACGAGTACAAGTGGGGTTTCGGGGAGCTGGACGCCGAGTTCTGGTGGGGACTGGAGAACCTGTGGCGGCTCACGTCACTGCTCGACCGGCGCTACGAGCTCAGGGTCGACCTGGAGGACTTTGACGGCGGGAGGCGACACGCGCTGTACCAGGGGTTCCGCATCTCCTCCGAGGAGGACGGGTATCGACTATCGGCGGAGAACTATACCGGAGATGCCGGCGACAGTCTCAGTTATCACGTTGGACAGCGGTTCTCCACAAAGGATAGGGACCACGACAGCCACGGGGTCAAAGAGTGCGCCAACATATTCAAGGGCGGCTGGTGGTATAAGTCGTGTTTTAAATCAAATTTGAACGGGCAGTATCTGTCCGGAGAGACACCCCCGAAGTCGTACGGTGTGGTGTGGGATGAGTGGCTCGGGATCAATTATTCTCTGCAGATGGTCGAAATGAAGATAAGACCGACCAAAAAGTTATGAACTGTTGAAAAATATATCCTTATCAACCTAAATGTGATATCAAGTGCCTATTGTCCCATGCCTCAGATAACTCCGATTTACAAAAAAAGATCTGTGAACTATAGTTTTAGTCAAACATGCTCATGTAATTTGGTGCCGAGCTTTTAGTGGCCAAATGTTAAATGTTACCGTGATCAAGGGTCGGTGATTTACAGAGGCGTCACCGACATAAAATTAGATGATATATCCCGCGCACCGACGGGGGTCTGCGCCAACTTCGCACCGACGGGGGGGGGGGCGGATGACCGCCCCCCCCCTGAGATCTCGAG